TTGACATGTGAGGTTTATCCTCTATGTGTTTCTTTAATATTAATTGGTGATATCATATGTCAATGATGACGTGGTATTACTATTATATTGAATTTTTACTGAAATTTTGTATAAAAGATTACTTTATCGTTATATAATTTATTTTAAAACTTATATCCATGACTTTTTCTTTTTTCTTTTTTATATTGTCCATAATATACTAGTTACAAATAATATATATATTATTTATCTTTTTTGAAGTCAATCGTAAAAATTTATGTGAAATATTTTTTGTAAAATTTTTTAATATTATAATTAATAAGTACCCCATCTGATTTAATTTCTTGGCTCCGTCGCTGTACACAATCACTTGCTAGCATTAGTCTCAAAATTGGTAAGGAACCAACAAAAGGAGACAAAAAGCAACAAACTCAAAGTAATAAAAACAACACCACCACCCCAAGCAGGCCCAAACACCAAGCTCAACAATCACAAGGCAGCACAAAACAACAGAGACATAGAGCAATATCATCAGCCCACTTAGATACATCAGTACATTAGTAGTGAGCACAAAATCAGCAGCAGTAACACAAACAGAGGCGGCTCCAAGGCTTGGCTAGGGGTGTCACCCGAACCCCCTGGCTGAATTTTTATTATTATTATTAATATATAAATATTAGATTTTAGGAAAAAAATTAGTAATTGAACCCACTAAAATACAACTTTGAACCCATAGTTTTTAATCCTACTCTTTTGAACCCACTATTTGATAGTGTTGATAATGAGTTTATTATGCAACGATTTCAAAATATGAAATCTCGTCATGGTCAATCGTAGAAGCTCGTGTATTAGCATGTCTTTTTGCTTAAATAATAGTATCAATATATTGAAATATTTTTGTTTATAATTTTAGAATTTAAATTAATTTGTTGATTTTTTTCTCTATATGTGATGTAATGATTAATGTGAATTTTCTGTAAGATATATGGTATTTAAGTTTTTGATTGACACCACTGACAAAAATTTCTGGAGTCGCCACTGAACACAAATAAGCTCAAACTCTGTTCCTCATGCTCTGCTCCTCACACTTTAACTGAAGATCTGCTCCTCATTCTTTAACTTAGCTGCAAGTTAGTAGAGGAGAACCTAATCTGATGCAAATTAGAAACAGGTCATGTACTGAGTACCTGCAGTCCTTATAGCGAGCTTTGACCCATAGAGCAATTCTTACTTTTATCAACTCGCAAAGCTCCTCCATCTGAATCTGCTTCCCATTAAAGATGCACTCATTTCTAAGTTTCCAAATGGACCACATTACTGCTAGTGATATGGCATTCCAAATTTTATTTTCCAACTTCTTCCATTTAAAACTCCTCCTCCACTCAAGTAACCAACCACCTTATCAGGCATTACCCAAATTAAACCGCACCAATTCATAAGATTCAACCAAAGCCTCTAGATAATGGGACACCACATCAACCATGATTCACATATTCAACTTCAGCCTTACAGAAAATGCATTCAGCACTAACATTCTGGCCAATTACCCCTAATCTTTGAAGATAAACAGTTGTTTTAACTCTCCCTTTCCAAGCCAACCAACCAAAGAATTGCAGTTTTGGTGGAGTAATATTGTTCAAAGCAGTTTAGTGACCCCAATGCTATTTCTAGAAGCATTCCTATTATAAATTGTAGACATAGAAAATTGACCTGATGGGGAAGCCTTCCAAAATAAGCAATTCTCTTTAATTGAAAAGGAAGGTAAGACGGAGTTCAATATGGTAATGAGTCTTTCCAGTTATTCCTCCTCCCAAGCAAATAAAGATCTCCTAAAAATCAGGTTCCAAGTTGCTAAGATTCCTCTTCTGTCCACCATCATCCTCAAAGAGGCCTCTTTTTCTGATGACAAATCATACAATCTTAGACTGACCCACCTCACATGTGTCACTCGTGTGATAATTGATATGATTTTTTACATGCATCTTTAAGAATTTTGTTTTTCATTTTTTAACACATTTCTTACATCTTAGTGTTTTTTATTTTATTTATTTTTTTATATTTTTTATTTAACAGGAATGAAAGCTGGAGGAAACAAATGAAAGTTGTTGGTGATGCTTGTGTGCCTGTTGTGCTGTTGGAGACTTGAAGTTCTTTTTTCTTTTTTTTCCTTTTATTTTATTAGTTGGCATGTTGGTGTGCTTGTCATGTTTGTTGTATTTGGATTTCCAATGACTTCTCTTTTTATTATTTATGTATTAAAACCTCATGTGTGGTTGTATTACTGCTGCTATTGGCTATTACTTTTTAACTGTGATGATATATATTGTTATGGACATCCATTCTATTGTCAATATATATATATATATATATTGTTGAGTTAAGTTCCTCCATGAGGTCAAGGAGCACAAAGGCAAACAGAGCATGTCGCAGAGAATTGGGTCATTAATAAGAAATGATATAAGGAGAGTCCCTGATTCAAGGGTTAAAACTTGACATTTTTGCAGACTAAGGAAATGTTGGCCCGAAATCCACCACCACCACTACCAATAAGACCACCACGGTCATCACCGGCGCCACAAACGAAAGCCATCTCTTTCACTACCACTAATGCTGTAACAAAACAAAAATTTCTTTGTACTTTTTTTTTTATTAGATAAATTACACTGACAGCCACTAAGATTTGTCTTTGATACAGTCTCCCTTTGATGTTTGATGGACTTGGGTTGTAATGAGGGGCCACTTGTTAGTGAGGTGAAGTTTCAAGTTCGAGTTAATAGAATGTCATTATAGCGATCCCGGGTTTACCCTTGTTGAACAGTGATCCGGACATGTGTCCGTGGATGTTGGTAGTTGTTTATTATCTTGTTTGCATCCCCTTGACTTCATATTTGAGTTATAGGATGTGTTGACCAGGTTTGTTCAAGTTGGTTGTGTTTGGGAGCCTAGTGTTGCTACCCAGATTTTTGGACCTTCGCTCGAGCGAGGAGTTGGTCGCTCGAGCGAGAGTTGAGTTCGTGTCTGGTGGATCGA